TCTGGTGAGGCCGTGAACTGGTACCGGTCAGTGTTTGTGGAAAATACTTGTCAACACTTGTAAAGGAATGAACACGAGAATAGGAAGCAAAATGTAATCCCCCCCACCCGTGGCCGCACTGGCATCTTCCATCGGGCGGTTGGGATGAAATTACTGTTTTTCTTCTGCCTAGATCGACACGATGAGTTGTTACAGTCTTTATTTATTAGTGAAAGTAAAAGTAGTATTTATTTGTCTAAGAATACAAATCCAATAAATTACACTGAAGAGTATCTGCACAGATGCCGATTTGAGATCCACAAACTTGTTCGTCGATCGATAATCCTAGTGGTTATCAAAGTGAGCCGAAACTGGTAAAGATGACCGCATTTGAGGTCGCTTATGTTGACGACTCGCTCACGGACAATCTAAATCCAATAGTTCTCATTGCATACGAATATTCGAGTATGCCGTTGAAGGGTGGAAAAAGGGCGCTGTTCTCATAAGGAGGGGGGGGACATTTTAGTGCACTGCACCCGAAACATTGAAAGGCAGTGCGCACGATTGCTGGAGGCGGACGGTTGTTGCCAGCGTCATTGGTGGAAGGGCTGCGAGAGGGCGTTTGGCCACACCTCCACTCAGCCCTTCCACCAATGACGTTGGCGACAACCGCCCGCCCCCAGAATCGTGCCCAGTGCCTTTAAACCTTGCTTGCCTTCTGGAACCAAAAAATCTGCCCCCCCCCCAACACAATCGTTCTTCGAATATTAAATGTGGCTGTAATGTACTTGGAAGTGCGGGAGCTGGGTACAGCATCGAGAACTGCTGTCACTACGACCTCCACCCCGAGGTTCCTCATCTGGCCTTCTCTTTATCCTAACCTATCACCTTACTAGCTCTTCGACTTTCCTTCCGATTTTTCTAGTTTTATAGAACTTGTTCTTACCCCCCCCCCCAAAAAAAATGTAGAGTATGGCGAGGGGATGCAGCGTGGTGGAGGTCGTCATCAACTGCTGTTTATTTCAACTATCAAAACTGCACATATGTTGCTGCTAGATCGTAGTCAACTAAGTGGAGCGTATATATAGTAAGGATGAAACGGTAGAAATCTAGAAAAGTCAACAGTGGGCAGAAATTTTCTCGCCCATGGGAAAATTTTTCTCGCGCGCGGATACGACCATCCATTTCCCCGCCCCTCCGAATGCGATCCCTTGTTGTGATCTACCAGCGTTGTGTACCCTGCGCGTGGGAGGAAGGGGAGGGGCTATTCAAATGCACTTCCTTTCTCCCAACCAGAATTTAGGCTTGGAGCGCAACGACCAGAGCCCTCGAAGAGGACATGGTCCCCACGTCTACAGAGGCACTGAAGAGTGCATATACCTGTCTTCCAACTACGTTAGCGTCCTAGAATGCCCTCACATTCGGAATAGCGCCGGAAAATCTAAGGAATAAATCATGAGAAATCTTTGAAAAATGTTAACCTGACTGAGGGTCCAAATAGGTTCGTGAAGATCGTCATTATCCGAAAGAACTCTGTATTCCAGCACCATGAAAGCCTCTTCGATGATGGGGTCATTCTCGAGATCGAATAGAATTTTTGCAGCAATCTTCGAGTAGGTGACTAACCGTGCACAACAGACGACCACTGAACGAATAAGGCCGCGGTCTGAAACTTTTTATGATTACCAGTCTATGTTCAGAATGTGAAGGGGGGGGGCATTTTGTTTCTCATCGATGTGTCAACCATAACCTTTTCTTGAGTTGACACCTTTCACCATGGTGGCTAGACGAGCTTGCTCCAGTTTCACAAGAGTTCACAAGTTTCACCAGAGTGAGACTTGTAAAAGTAGTGAAGCAGTGAAAGTGCAAAATGCCCCCCCCCCCGTCGACGAACTGCGCCCTAATTTGAATAAACGGAACCGAGAAATCTACAGCTGTCTCTATGGCCAAGCAAAAATCGAAGAGAGGGTCTTTTGGTGAGGACACCAGTAAGGGTATGCGACAAGACAATCGTGGTATAGCGCGCTGGTAGGAGTGGCGAGGGACGTCGCGTTCGACAGGCGAGTTGTCCTGCGTGGCCATTTGAATATGACTAGATCACCAGGGACCAAACATGGACCCTCAATGGATTTTCGATGTACGCTGTTTTTCGTTGAAATGCCATTTGAGCACCTTAGTTGTGACTTCCCTCATTCCCACGTTTTCTCCGACTCCCCTTCCCACCCCATTCTCTCCGATATGTAATAGCGTTTGACTGATTCACAGAAATTCAACTGAATACGCTTTCTGGTGATCGTACCTTGTGGTCCATCTTCAAAGATCATATTTTCTTTTCTGATGCAGTCCTGTACACAACTGTTACATTCCAATTTTTTCCAGAGTGTTGAGTTATCGTCCTTGCACTGAAAATGATTCAGCTGTTGAAGGGAAAATGCCACGCCAGAACAATAAAACTAGACAGTAAATGCATTGGGAAGATGGTCAGGACATCAGCCGGGCGTACTGCAGCGTCCTACATACGCTTGCCGTAACGGCCATCACAATTAGAAGTTCTGCTAGAGAGAAAAGGGGAGAGAAGTGAGCTCCTTCAACCTGGGCCCCAGCAAAACGCAGACAACTGTAGAGCCCTACCTTAGCGCCAGCGCTAAAAATGAATGTTGTATGCGGGATAAGAATGTCAAATAATTCCGGCAAGCAGGTTCATTCTGACGTTGGAAAACTGGTGATGCTAAGTGCTCATGGGATCCACTGGAGCCATGGGATGTTCAATGGGCGCCAAATGGGATTTTTCAATTTCTGGGGTTAGAATTGTATGAATATTGCAAAAAGCAGAAGAAAATGAGGAGGTGAAAAAATAGATAATAATTGAATAGAGCAACAAACCTCATTTTTACACTTGGCCTGACAAACAATCAGCGATCGAGCCTCATAAAAATACTTTGGAGTGCCTGCTGTGCGCGAAAGAGTGATAGTGAGGCTTCTCACTAGCGAAAAAGGGAGTAGAAGTAAAAGAATGACGCTAGCTCTTCAGAAACGACATTCTTTACTTGTATGAATGGGATCCGCTGAGTGAGCATTAAGGGGCTGTACTTCTGTGGGTTGGCAGAAACACTTCAGGAGGCGCACTTGGACTGATAATTACTTGGCAGTGCAGAAACTGCAGCCGTCTTATTGGATTCGTTGTTCTGATAATTAGGGTGCACAAGGATGCTGAGTTATAGGCAAGTCTTGGCACTCCTGTCATCCTGGGTTCCAACGTGAACCTAAGAAACCTGAAAGACCAACGAAGGCAGAACGCCTTTTCTTCAGAAACTTTATGGCAGAAGCACAAAAATAAAAACAATGTCGAGTTGTATACTTTATTTACTCTTGATATTTTTGAATAAACTCTCATGATAATGTAATCCGAGGTGAATAGAAGTGCCTCGTATTTACATATTACATACATAGATTCTACAAAATGTGCATTCGATATAACTGTTACACAACATCTAAATGCATAATTGTATGATTAAATAACATAGGCAGGTCGTGATTGGCGTAACTAGCGAGCTCGCACTGGTCGACTGCTTCATGACTAGCGCCAGGAGTCCTGAAAATTGCTCCGCATCAATTATGTTCCAGCCGAGTTGGCTTATACTTTCTTCGAATAATGCACCTGAAAAATTCAGGTTTTGTGGATAGCATTAGTCTTCATCAAGTCTCCCATCACAAGATTTAATGTGGCTCGAATCTTTGCCATCAAGGCTGTTACCAAGATTGTCTGGAATTGCGCGATCAGAGGGTAAGAGATCGTTCATACTTCGCGATCGGATTGCTTAGATCGCACGAACATTACCGGGCGCGAATCGTGGACCACCGCAACGGCAGAATCCAAATTGGGCCGCATTCGTACAAGGCATGTACAGTTCAGGATATAACAGAGTGTAAAAACTGTGTTTAAAATTAAATGCTCAGGAGCTCCAGGCTGGGGCTTGGAAGCAACGGCCACGCAGATTCCGCACTTCACCCACAACCCAGGCGTAAATTTGAAGTAATGCCTCCCTCACAGTAAAAAAAGCGACTTTTTCCGAGGCATTCCTGGGTTAACTAGGAAGTGGACTTCAGTTTCAGAAACGGTGAATGTGACTCTCGAAAGTGCTAGAGGCACCCACCCAGATTCTCTTCTGCAGTCGAAGGTGTTGGGTCACAAGTCCCAGTGCGCTGTGGGTGCTTTCCCAACACTCCTTCACCAGTAACACTCGAACAGCGCCGTCTGCCCAGGTAGTTCGCTTTCTTCTCTAGGGTTTTTTTCGGAAGTTAGATCCCATGAGATTTTCTCCTCTCAGTTCGCGTGTTTCTGTTAGAGGGATTGGTTTCGATTCTCCTCGTTCACAATCATTTAGGCAGTTACTGCCCATCAGGTGCATCGAAGTGAAGCACAGCTGTAGTTTTTAGACTTCTAGCTCAATTATTGAAGGCACGGTGCGCGATCAGGTATGGAAGTTGGAAATATGGCGTCGGGAGGGTAGTGTGGTCCACGACGAACAACCTTGTACCGGTTTCGCGGCAAAAAATTGGGAGGGGAGCTATAGCGCAATATAGGTTTGGAGAAGCCTGCTTTTCTCCATTGACTTCGCCTCCACACTACGCCTTCAAGGCCACCTTCTAGTGGTAGGCGAAGCTGCAGGACGAAAAAGCATGAGAATCCCCACTTGTACGGTCGTACAGTTCTTCTAGGGAAATCGGCTGTGCGCATGGGGCGTGTGTTGGAGATGGAGTTGATTGGGCGCTTGTGAACTGGGACTGGAATGGGGTTCTATCTAAGGGCAGTTGCATGTTTTTTTCTGCTTTTTTCTTCACTATCGAGTTACTCAGAACCTTGCCGTCTATATGCGAACCCCTAATCCACTATCTCTGAAGGCGAATGATCGCAGGTTTTGCCTTTAAGGAGGACCCACCGCATCATCATGCATAGTGTCGCCTTTCCTATCCGTTGCTTTCATTTTCCGGTATTTCATCGCCATGCTCTTGTACCTGTAACGAAAACAATAAATAACGTTTATTTCGAACATTCCACTGGTTTCTTGCAAACTAAACGAATATGTCGATCAATGAATGCGTAAATAAACATAAAAACACATAAATTTGACGTGTGTGTACTCACTTTATGCAGCACATCGTCTCAGCACACTGTACGTAACCTGGCTGGCAATAGCATGGGTTTCCACATGGAACGGCTATTTGAGCCGCTGTAAAAAGATAAAAAGATGATTGAAGTAAAGAATAAGATGACTGCCGGCGCAACTCATTCCTTTTTCGCGCTGCGTCAGATATTCCACTCAGGGCACGTCATACCTCATTGATACCCAATAAGTGGGGAGAGTGGTGCTTTCCTTCGAGAAAAATTTTCATGTTGACTTTTCTCGATTTTTTCTGATTCAAGCGTCATGTGCACCTCACCCTCTCCCTCCCCCTCCTCGCCGCAACGTGCTCAATCGACGGTAGTTTTCTGGGAAAAATGGAGAAATTCTAGGAAAAACTCCAGAAAAGTGAGAGGATGAGGGCCGCATTTCGCCAAAATTTTCCCCAGCTACACGACATGTCCTGATTCCACTTCCCTTCAGAATCGCTGTGGTATTCTAGATAGGTTTGGCCTGAGGGTTGCTTAGGCCGTAGTCGACGTTCCTGTCACGGCCTTGATTCTTCAAGACAAGCCTGAGATAGGTAAAGCGCCCTAGGAAGAACGAAATGTTTGTTTAGCCTCAGTTCGGACACCCATTCCCTCTGCATCCGCTGGAAAGTGTTTGAAAGTAGTCTTATTCCAACCGGAACTGGTTCCACGGAACGTAGTGGTCCAAAGTAACGCCAGGAGAGCCTTCTACACGCCTTCAGACACCCAAACTGCGATTAGTAACGCCAGTGATTCGAAAATATCATCTACTCTTCTAAAGGTAGTTGGGGGGGGGACAGTTAATAAAGCAATGGTCTTAGCTCGAGAGAGCGCGAATGTTGCGCGTGTGGAGCTGCGCTGCGCTTTGGTCAATGGCGCCTTTCCCGTCCAGGAGAGTTTCACCTCGCCCATGTCGCAGCCCTATCGCTTCCAGGAATCACGAATTCTGCAGGCGGCAACGCCGGACCAACCCGCGCTCAGCTCTGCGTTGCTGCCGGACGATTGTCTTGCACGTCCCTCAAAGATGGCTGCTCGCGAACGCCCAGAAATGGTCGTGCGCACGTGTAATACCGTCAAAATGATTTGCAGACAACTCACTTTGTACCTGTTGGGTACACGACGGGAGACATGACGGCATGCAGGATGCTGCACACTGCAGTGATGCTACCGGAGCTGGAGTAGCTGGAGCAGGTGTCATCGGTGGAGGGGGTGGCGGCAGCATTGGCTGTAGAGCGACGCATGACGGGGCACATGCTGGCATGCAGGACGGAGCACATGTCACCTTAACAAGAGCATTAGTGACTACTCAATTCCAACTCCACAAAGCGACCGTGTGAGCAGTTAAATTTGCAGGGGGGCGCTTTT